CCCATAGAAACACAAATAATATGATGATATTCGAACATGTTTTTAATTCAAATCATTCTGATCATTTTGTTCCGTCTTGTTTTTCTTTCTAACCCATTTCCTCCGTTTCCTTTGTCCGACTGTTGCTCTGACTGTTGTTATCTCTCTCTCTCTCTCTCTCTCTCTCTCTCTCCAGCTTCCACCTGATGTGATGTGAATCAGAGCTGAAGATGGGATCAGTGGTGTCAAACGTTGGCTCGCTCTGCGGCAGCTCTAAGACTGAGAAAGGTTCAAAATTCAGATTTTTATTTTGACACTAAATATTGACATAAAAATCCTCTAATGTTGTTGAAACTTCAAATCCTTGTTTGTTTCAGAGGAGCAGCGACACCTGAAGGCAAACGACCGACACTTCAACTTGTCCTATAACTATGCTGTGAGTGCTGGAAAAAAAAACCAACAACTCCTTTTCACCACTGTAAACAAACTGTTAGCCTGTTAGCTTCAAAGGGTTGACAAAAAAAAGACGAAACAAAACATCTCTGTAACGGCGACAGTTGACGACAAATATTTGAACGTTAGCTGAAAACAAGCTAAATCACGATGTTTAGTCTCAGTCGGAGTTACTGCACTAGAAGCTATTGAAATGCTAACATAAGACAAACTCAGCTACCATTGATAGCTAGGATACATTAGCCCAGAAGAAGTAGAAAAAAAAGAAGTTACTTTTTGGCCAAAGAATACAAAAGGTTAGCTTAGCAACAGGCTAACATTAGCCGATGTATCAGAATGTGTTTGATACAAGTTTTCAAAAACATCTTTTTAGGTGTAGCCAAGATTATAGCTAAATGTTAGCCGACACTGAGGCAGCTGAAGGTAGAGTTTTGAAAGTCCTGGAATTAGACCTGGAAACTTTTGAACTTTTTTTTTTCCTCCTCCAGAACAACGCCATCAAAACCTCCAAATACAACATCTTTACGTTCCTGCCGCTCAACCTGTTTGAGCAGCTGAGTAGACTCGCTAACGCCTACTTCCTGTTCCTCATGGTATTGCAGGTAAAATACTACGTCACACAGGTCTCCCGATGATTGACAGCTGATCCCAGACGACTCTCTATGACGTGAAACGTGTGTGTGCGTGTGTGTGTGTGTGTGTGTGAACAGGTGATCCCTCAAGTCTCCTCTCTGTCCTGGTTCACCACGGCTGTTCCTCTGATCCTGGTTCTGTCTGTGACTGCAGTCAAAGACGCCACCGATGACATCGTAAGAAAAAAAAAAAATTAAAATGTAAAAATGAAACATAAATGCAGTCTTTTTTTTATGTCTGTGTAGAACCGACACCGGTGTGACAACCAGGTGAACAACCGTCGGGTGGACGTCCTGATCGACGGAGAGTGAGTCTCAGTAGGAAGAACCTTTTACAGTGACTTTTATATTTGTCAGTCATTACTGAGAGACGTGTATCTGTGTGTGACAGACTGAGAAATGAAAAATGGATGAACGTTCAGGTCGGAGACATCGTCAAACTGCAGAGTGATCATTTTGTGACGGTGAGTAGAAACAATGAGGTTATTTCCTGGTCCCTGGTCCCTGGTCCCTAGTCCCTGGTCCCTGGTCCCTAGTCCCTGGTCCCTAGTCTCTGGTCCCTAGTCCCTAGTCCCTAGTACCTGGTTTCTGGTCCCTGGTCCCTAGTCCCTGGTCCCTAGTCTCTGGTTCCTAGTCCCACCTAGTCCCTAGTCCCTGGTCCCTAGTCCCTAGTCCCTGGTCCCTAGTCCCTGGTCCCTAGTCCCTAGTCTCTGGTCCCTAGTCCCTGGTCCCTGGTCTTAGCAGAATGATCCTGATCTGACTTCCTGTTTCAGGCTGATCTTCTGCTGCTGTCCAGCAGTGAACCTCTGAACCTGGTCTACGTGGAGACAGCAGAACTGGACGGGTCAGTCTGTCTTTGAATGTTTTTCTTCTTCCTCCTCCTCT